ATATTTGCTTGCACTGGTGAAACTGAATGCTTCGACAGAAAGTCAGTCCCGCATCACTAATCGCTTCACTCCCAGTGATTTTTGTTTGCTTGAGTCAAGCTTTCTGAATGTTATTGCACGCATTCGGAATTCCTATGCATACCACAAAACGAATTAGGTGTTGTCGCCTGTGCGCTTTTCATCATCAGTCCCTTCTCTACTGTTTTCATCCGCTGGCTTTCTTTGAAAGCACTGTGCTCGCATGAAACATTTTTTACTTAAAAGGCGACATATTTAATAGAAAAAATCCACCAAATAAAGAGTTTGGTTGCTACCGATCGATCAGTGGATTGATGGACAGCGTTAAATCTCAGTACTCGCAGATCGGAAGAAACTGCGATTGCTGGTGCTGCTCCAGCCACTACTTTGCTGCTGTCACCAGTTCTACTTCTCCACTAGTAGCACGAGATGACGGGGTTTCTGGTGTGCTTGGTGTTTTCGTTACTTTGTCTATGCACATTTGTTTTCGAGGCGCACTCTCTCCCTTTTATAAACTTCCTGTGTGTTTTCGATGTTGTAATTGGTATTTGTGATTGTGATTGTTTTAGCACTGAATGGCAGTGCTGCGTCGTCGATGAATGGTGTTGCGGCGGTGCCAGGAGAAAGCCGCTATCAGCCGCAGCAGCAGCAGCAGAATTGTCTAGCCCTGAATGATGAAGAGCAGAGCAGCACCGCCGATAAATCAGCAGCACCAGTGCTTGCATTCGCAACGCTACCACGAACACCCAAAAAATTCGTCCTAAAAAATGATCCGCTAAATTTCGATTGCGGTCGCGAATCACCGCAGCAGCAACAGCAACGTTTCCCGTCGACAAGTTCGCCGGATTTGTTGCGACTGTATCGACCTCAGCAGAATGCAAGTTCAAAACTGAAGCGTGTAAATGCATGCAAAGTGAAGCGTGATTCGGCACGAACCAGTGGTGAGGAAGAAGTGGATGAGCGGTGCGTTGAAGTTGTCAACGATAAAGGTTAGTTTAAAGCATGGCTAAAGCTTTTTAGTTACATCATTGTTAGTGCATTTTTCACCTAAATTTGTTTATGACTGAAAGTGGAAGGCCGAAGAGCATGCGATTCATTGCACGCTTCGCACGTTTGTTGTTCGTGGAATCGTGCATCACATGCAGTTTTATTCAGCTGCAGTACAGTAGTTGCACCGCCTTTTCAGGTGCAGGCGTTTTCAAAATTGATGAGTGTACTGTAGCCAGTAGTTTAAACGTGGCACAGTAAAACTCGAGAGCGAGCGTTTTTGTGCATTTTCGCATAATTTACAAAATATAACATGCGGTTCCGCGAAATGATGTGTTTTTATGCTTTTTTAGTGTGCAGCGCTATAGCGCTGCTGTAGCCAGTAGAAACTGATGTTGTTGAGAGGTTGTTTGTGTGTGTGTCTTCGGAAGGGTCACCTTCTTTCACCTTAAAAACCAGGAAAGCTGAAAGGCTAAAACCTTGGGTTTATGCTCCTACTCCGTGTGTCACCCTTCCGTTTCAAGGTCTTCCCCCAGGCGCGCCTAGACCCCGCGTACCCCGAAAAAATATGCAAATTTCTTTGGCGGGAAGCGATTTTGCTAACCAGACAAGGTGCAAAGCTGAAACTTTGCAGTAATATTCTCTGTGCATGTACGAGCTAAAGATTTCAAATTCAGCTGTCGCGCACGCTCGTTTAGCGCGTACGATCACGTCAAAGCTTGCAGCTTGGTACTGTGTTAACTCGAAAATTTGCCGGATAACAGTGGCTCAAATTTTGTCAACATGTTTGTCGCCCATATGAGAAATTGTGTACCTAAAATGAGCAACGATTTTGCACTTGCACCACGACTTAGGGCACTTCGAAGATATTTGTAAGCGGATATTTCGCTTACCGGATAAGCTACGAGGCTGGAAATTCGCTGGAATATTCTACTTTCAATTACGGTCTTAATTCTGCTTTGGGGTGAAATTCCCTGAGGGTGGGCGTGGGAAATACTCAACTTTACCAAAAAATCAGAAACGAGTGCGTTTTGCAGCGGACGACCGCCCTCATCCAAATATGTAAATGAGCATTAGTTCATTTGTACACTGAGATTTTTTGACAAATGACCACACGAGCAATACTTCCACTTTTTAGTGAACTGGAAATCCGCATTTTTTATTTTTCAAAAAGTGAGCATTTGCCGAAACCCAGGCTGGAACGCACCAGCCGAGCCGGTGCGATCATGCGTTTTTGCGCAAAACTTGAGTTGGGTTAATTGCATGAACGGTTGTTCATACCTACCTTGTGTGCTTAATGCCGAAAATTATGGAAATTTTGCATAAAAAGAAATAAACTGTTTCCGTGTAGCGGTGTTTTTTGAAAGTAACCCAACTGTTCAGTGAGTAATTTACCCGCCAGAAATTTAGTTGTTCGTACACGAAAATCATGCGTAACCGAAGACTGAATTTGAAAATTTAAGTTTTATTTGGTTA